CCGCGGTTGTGTGTGCTTCATAAAAATAAACCCACTTCCTGCGTATCTCTGCGGAAGTTTTTTTTTTTTTTTTTCTTTTTTCCTCTCACGAAAGTTATGCCTCTCTTTTGAAAAGTATATACATAAGAAAAAAAAAAGTATATACATAAGAAAAAAGAGTATATACATCGAAAATCAAAGAGGTTGCTGATTGAGGTTTTCTCGAGTGAGGGAAAGGGGGGGAAAAGTGAAATAGAGAACAAGCATCTGCAAGGATGGATACTTGCAATTCAGAGAGGTACACGCTTCCATCTTGTATTCTCGTGGTTCACGGTTTAATCAGAAGCGAATTCGATCGCGTTTGAAAAGCCGAATATAACATGATGGTCGTTATATATACACACACCAAAAGTCTCTTAGAAAATTCATTCAGCCTATTTTTCTATAAAATTTATATGAGAAAAAAAAATGAGAATGCAATTGAGAAAAAAAAAGTTACAAGAGTTATTAGTGGAGATTTTTCTATCGAATTATATATAATAAATGTGATATTTTTCATGGTTCGCAAACAAATTTCAACTATATAGATATATATGCAAGTTTCTATATGAAACGCTTGAAACTTGCTGGTTAGTTTTGCATCTACATCAGTTTTGCAAAAGCACTTACTCTCTCGATCTCTCTCTCTCTCGTCCAAGTTTCGACGTCTGAACTCAATGTTTCACAAACGACGGAACACTTGAAGTGCTTAAGACAACTTTCTCAAGGGGATTCAAAACTCCTAATGAGAGACTTTTGACAATGCTTATACGAATTTCTATATGTTATATAGTATAAGAAAAAATATATCGTTACGTAATGCAAAAAGCTTTTTAAAGTTTAGCAGAAGAAAAAAAAATTTATCCAATATTTGAAAGATATGAAATGTATTTTTCTTTTCTTAAAAGTTTAGAAATGTTCTCTTTCTCTCGTTTCTCTCATTGTCTTGCTACTATTCGAGATTTGAATCGATAATAAGCGACAAATACGAGAAGATATAAAAAAAATAGACAATTGTTGACTTATATTTGTTTCAAATTAAATAATGTTGTGTTCAGGGAAAATTATTTAAGGTTAATTTAATGGTTATTTATTTAATGCATGGCGCCTCCATCGCAGAATTTCGTGGCCAATATTAATATTACCGTTGCTAGGGAAAAAAATCCTTAGCAACCGTTACTAAGGAAAAAAAATCCTCAGCAACGGTTGCTAAGGAAAAAACGGTTAATACGGTAGCGGCTGTCATGGAAACGGTTGTTATGGAAAGGGTTGCTATGGTACCGGTTGCTATGGTAACGGTTGCTATGGTAGCGGTTGTCATGGAAACGGTTGTCATGGAAACGGTTGCTATGGTACCGGTTGTTATGGAAACGGTTGCTATGGAAACGGTTGCTATGGTAGCGGTTGTCATGGAAACGGTTGCTATGGTACCGGTTGTCATGGAAACGGTTGTTATGGAAACGGTTGCTATGGTACCGGTTACTATGGTAGCGGTTGTCATGGAAACGGTTGCTATGGTACCGGTTGTCATGGAAACGGTTGCTACGGTACCGGTTGCTATGGTAGCGGTTGTCATGGAAACGGTTGTTATGGAAAATGTTACTATGGTACCAGTTGTCATGGAAACGGTTGCCATGGTATCGGTTGTCATGGAGACGGTTAGGTAGTAAAGGTGGCGCTGTAATAAAAATGGCGCGAGAATTGATTTAAATTCAAATACAAAACAAAAAATGTAACTAAAAATAATTAAAAGAAGAAATAATTACGAATTGATTTCATCATTTATGGAGTTTGCAAAAAAAAAAATCTATAAACTTAGAATCATAAAAATGTGACTTTTTACAATTTTTGTTTCCAACTTTAAATTCTAAATTATAAAGTTTTTGAAAAGTTAATAAAAAGCTTTAAAGAAGATTTCATCTCTAACGTTATTTTTACATAGAAAATTTTTTTTTTTTTTTTCCATTTTTAAGAGACATATGCTGACTGAATGGCGAATGGAATATGAAAATGCCGGACAAGTTATAAAAATATGCATTACTCTCTTAAAACGAGTGGATTTATCGCTTTATGGACACTCGCCTCTAACCGTTTTCATGTCAGAGAATTCAGAGATTGTAAGTTTTAATGATGGAAAAACGAGCAAATGTGACATTTAAAAGAACCTCATTTTTTTCATAAAAAATTCTCTTTTTTTTATCTATCCTTTATAACTTGTACATTTTATAAATATTTTCCATTCTTTTGTTTTACATTTTTAATATAATTTTTAATGGATCTATTTTTATATACTATGTACATTTTTAATCTATCTTTACTTTCTATTTTTATTTTGTACGCGTTTCTTCTAAGAGATGTCTTATCTTGAAATTCATTTTCCACTTGACAAAGGGAAAATCTTTCAAAAGTAATTCAGAATTTTTTCTTCTTTCTTTTTTTTTTTTTAATATTAAAATTTCCGCACAAAGATTGTAAATCTAGTTAAAAGATTTTGTAAATTAAAGTTCCCCCGTAATACGGAGAGTCGCCTCGCTTAATACTTTTGAAGGAGCTAATTGGGGCATATAAACTTGTCTTAGACCTGAGAAATGCGGACCCTGAGCCATCTCTTAATTCTGAGGACATTTTATGTAGATATATAAATGTATATATAGTCATGTATAGTGGTGAGAGATTACAACACAAGACTCTCTCGTTAGAGAATATCACGAATGCTGTCATTTTGAATAGAGTTTAACAATTACTCTTATCCACAGTGAAATTTAGTCGAAAATTAAGCGAATCTTTAAACTTTATACGAAAAAAAAAATATTTACCTGTAACAGGGAAAAGTTTTGTAATAGTAAAAAATTTTTTTTTACTACTCTAGTGAAACTTTTCGCTGTTCCAGGTAAATTTTTTTTTTCCTCTATATGTAAAGTGAATTTTTTTTTCAATTTTATAATAACGCGAAATTTTTCATTTGTAAGGAATTTATATATTTTCGAAAAATTCGTTTTTCTCTAAAAAAAAAAAAAGTGACATTCTTTTCTAAAGAGAAATTTCCACTCGATATAGCATATCATTGCCACAAGTTCGAAAACCATTCTTATGCAATTTAAAAGTTTTAATGATGTAGCGTATAGTATATATATAGTCTGATGATGGCCAATATTCACTTGGTTCCGTCACTTCTTTTTTTCTCATGAGAGACACTGTCGTTCTTTTTCTTTTTTTTTTTTTTTTGTTTTTCTTCTTCTTGTTCTTCGTCTTCTTCATTTTATTGTGCAAACGAATCGACGCTTTCTTGAGAAACTTGTTTGCCAATTACATAGGATAAGTAGAGTAACGTCTGCAAACACACCGTTTGGTATTATCTCGAGTAAACAGGGTTTCCCTACTTTTGATGACAAGTTGGACGAATAAATATAAGCAACTCCCATAGAAAGTTTCAATATCCTCTATAAAGATTATAATGAGTTTTTCTATGAAAAGTTTTATATAATTAAAATTTCTATTTTTTCTCTTGTGGTTGAAAAAAAAATTAAAACACATTATTTTATTAATGTATAAGGGATTTATTATTAAATAATAATAATAATGAGATTTTTTGATAATATTTATTCTTGACGAATATTACAAAGAAAATAATAAATTCGATTTTTCACAATTACAAATTTCATATTGCCATACGATTATTGAAATATTTTTATTTATCAAGTTGTTGAATAAAATTTTTCAAATACTTGAATATTTTTTATTTTTGTTTTAAATTATGTCGAAGTTGTCTACTACTTTTCCCAAAAGATCCCACACCAATTTCAATGCACCGTGAGCTAAAAATTGTATTTTCAATTATAATTAAAAAATATAAATATTTTGCAAATAATTATCATTAATATTAATATAAAAAAAAAGTATGAAAATTATAACATACCAGCTGGCGATCTCATGGTTTGTTGTGGAACTTGAGCTGAAATATTATTACACACATTTTTAGAAATAAATTTAAATAATTGTATTTTGTTAATGAAATTTAAATTGAATTTTAAATTGTAATTATATTAAAAATATATGGGAAAAATTTCGATTAATTCAAAAATAATAAGTTGAAATAATTTTGTTCTCTGGTTACATTTATATTATTGTAATAAAAAAAAAATGAAATAAAAAAAGTAAAAAAATTATGAAAAAAAAAATTTATTTGATTCAAATACTCGATTATTTGACTATTATCAAATAAATATTTATTTGTGTCAAATAATTATTACTTGAGCCAATTAAATTGTATTTGTTTCAAATACAAAAATTATTGGTTCAAATACAATTTATTTAATTCAAATAAATATTATTTGGTTCAAGTAAATATTTATTTGATAATACTCAAATAATCGAGTATTTGAATCAAATAAATTTTTTTTTCAGTGTAGTAAATTTAAAAAATATTTCAATTATATATTTAAAATTATTAATTATATTATTTAAATTCTAATTTTTTGCTAATAAATAAAGTAACTTACCTGTGACAGATACACAGCTTAAAGCTGCCAACACAAGTAAGAAAGTGAAAATGAAGTATTTCATTTTTATTTATTTTCAAATTACAAAATAACTTGACTGATCGTTTTAATGTTGGTCGCACCTTTTATATGCGAGAAACACAAGAAAAGTGACATAACGATAACTTGAAATTTAGATAATATTAAAAGGAAAGTTTTGTTTCGTTTCTTATTTTTAAAGCACTTTTTTTTCTATCGTCTTTAATTGAACTATAATTAGCATGAAATTAAGTTTTTTTTTCGAATTACTTTAGAAAAAAGACATTAAAAAAAATATAACGTAAGGAAAAAAAGTGCCAGCTAATGATAAAAGCTAGCATTTCTTTTAAGTTAAAATCTAAATTTATCGTTAATTATCCTCTAAATGGTAATTGGAGCATTTTAAAATTATTTTCTCGCATATAAAAGGTGCTACAAATGTTACGACCATCAATGTCAAGTTGTCTTGCAATTTGAAATTAGTTAAAAATGCAATACTTTATTTTCACCTTCTTAATTGTGCTTGCAGCTTTAAGCTGTATGTCCGTCACAGGTATGTTCTTTTATTTATTATTTATTATTGCAATATTAGTAAATTGTGATATAAATTATTTTTTGTATCAATAAATACAATTTTTTATTTCTTAACTAATAAATTTGTGTGAAATTTCAATTTGCGTTATTTAAATTGTTTTCATCTTTTTAAAATAAAAATATATATTGTTTCAGCTGAATTTGACAGAATTAAATCTGAAGCTGGTATGTTGTTTTCATAATTTTTATTTTCTCTTTTCATATTTTGATATATTTTTAAGATATCTAATTTTCATTATTTTTCAGCGCATGGTACATTGAAAATGGTGTTCGATCTTTTAGGAAGAGTAATAGAACAATTTGATCAGTGAAAAATTCAAGTCTCTGAAAAAATGTATTGGAAATTGAATTAAAAAAAAAAAAAAAAAATTTTAATAATCGTATGGCAATATGAAATCTGTAATGATAACAAATTGGAATTATTATTTGATTTGTAATATTCATCATGAATAAATAATTAAAATAAATAAATATTTGTGTTTTTTCTCTTTGATTGTTGGTATTTAACAATTGTGTTAGTTACTTTAAACTTATAAAAATTTATTTATTTTTTTTATTAAGAGCGAACTTAATTTTACTTTTAATTTATTTATTTATATTTTTATTAAATAAATTATTTTATTTTATTTAAAAAATACAACCGAGTGATAAATTCTAAATATTTTATTCTTAATAAACAAATTTTAATTAATTTATTTAATAATTTAATAATTGATCCAGATTCAGTAGTTAAGGACATTTATAGTCAGACATTTATAGTCTAAAAATATAAAATCTTGAAATTTACAAGATAAAAGCTGATGAATTTCTATATTTTTACTTCTTGCTTTAAACAAAATAGTAAAATTGTACAAATTTTCATCAATATCACTAAAATGTTGAAAGAACATAAAATAAAAAATTTATTTAAAAATCAGTATTACTAAAAAATTTTCGTCAGACAAAATTTTCTCCAATTATCAGGGTGTCTAACGATCAGGGAAAGTCAGGGAAATTTCTGTAAATTTCTACAAAAATTAAAATTTTTTTGTGAATTTAAAAATTTTTTAATCTTAAAAAAAATTGAATGGTTTTTATTACCATTTGTTACTACCATTAGAAATTAATTTATTGTTAAATATGTCAGTAACTATATTTTTGTTCAAAAAAAGCAGAAATAAGGTTATTAAATAGTCAGGGAAAAATCAAAAAATGTTAGGGATGAGTCAGGGAAAAGTCAGGAAATTTTTTTCTCAATCCTTGTTAAGTCACCGTGATTATTGAAAATTTAATTGCAGTAGTATAATTAAATTTTAGTCAGACATAATTTTTTTAATTCTTGTAGTTTTCGTATAAGTATTAAAATTGTGTTTGATAAACAATTTTTTGGACTCAGTAGTAAAAACATTTCAGTCAGACAAAACTTTTCAACTTAAGTAATGCTATCAGTAGTACGAGGTAGTTTCAGTCAGACATAATTTTTTTCAATTCTTTTAATTTTATCGTAAGTAGTAAAAAATATTTAATCAGACAGAACTTATTTCTTGTAATTATTGTATTAGAATTTATATAGTTCTGTAAAATTCGCAAAATCAGTAGTAATAATCCGTTTTAGTCAGACCAAATGTTTTAAATTGCTGTAATTATAATTTCAGTAGTAAGAGTAGTTTTATGTCAGCCTTTACAAATATTTTTCATTTTGGAATTAGTAATCAAATACGTTTCAGCTGGGCTTTAATTTTGTAATTCTAGTGCAAGTAGCAGAAGTCAGTTTCAGTCAGGCGAAAAAATTTTTTTTTCAAAGAATTGTAAATTTTTTTATTTTTTTTTATTGTCTATGTTTATAAATGAATAAACAAGAACGAAAAATTTATATATTTTTTGAATTATTTATTAATGACGAACATTACAAAGCACATAGTAATTCCAGTTTTTTTACAATTACAGATTTCATATTGCCATACGAATAGATTTTTTTTCAAAGTCTTGAATCTTTTCTTCTTAAATTATGTCGAAGTTGTCTACTACTTTTCCCAAAAGATCCCACACCAATTTTAAGGCACCGTGAGCTAAAAAATTGTATTTTGAATTATAATTAAACAATATAAAATATTTTTAATCATTAATATTATTATAAAAAAAGAAAGTGAAAATTATAACATACCAGCTGGCGATCTCATGGTTTGTTGTGGACCTTGAGCTGAAATATTATTACAAAAATTTTAGGAAAAAATTTTTTTACTTTTTTAGTAAATTTAGTATAGTTATAGAGAATTGTTAAATATTAAAACAAAACAAAATAATTATCACAACATACCAGCTCGTAATTTCATCATGCCTTGAGCTGGAAAATCATTACACTTTTTTCGAAAAAAAATTTCTTTTAATTTATACCAAATATGAATATAAATAATTTTTTTTTGTAAATTATTGATACATGATTTTTCAATGTATTTGTAAAACATATAGTGTAACGATTCTTTCAGTTTTTATGATTAATAATTAATGTAACAAACCTTCAACGGACAAACAGCAAACAGCTGCCAACACCATTAGGAAAGTGAAAATATAGGATTGCATTGTTAATAATTCAAAAATTGCAAGACAACTTGATGTCTTAACGTTTGTGTTGCCTTTTATATGCAAAAAAATTAAAAGAAAATTGGCAACACTTACAATTTAAACGATAATTAACTTTAAATTTAAAAATTATTTAAAAGGAAAATCTTGTTTACTTTTTATCAAAAAAAAAAAAAAAATACTTTTCTTTCGTTATTAAATGTAATTGGCATAAAATTAGGTCTTTCTTATCCATTGATAGAAAAGAGTGACTCGTAATTTATTTTCACACTTTTTTTTACAGAGGAAAGTTATATTTGAAATAAGTAGACTATTTTTTAATTATATAAATTTTTTTTTTAAGTCGAAATAAAATTTATTTGATCTAAATATTTACATATTTGATTTAAATATATTTTTTTGGTTCAAATATTTTTTTGAGTAAAACAAATTGTTTTTGTTAAAATTGTATATATTAAGCCACTTTATTTAATTTAATTTTAATTTTAATTTTAATTCAATAAAAAATTTGTTTCAAATAAATACAAAATTATTTTATCAATTTATTCTTATGAAAAAAAAAAATATTCCACTTTAGAGTAGAATATTTTATTCTCAGTTTTAAAGAAAAGATGACAAAAGAAGTACTTCAATATTTTTCTTTCTAATTAAGAATTTCCGTTTATAATTGAGAGAGGTTTTTAAGAGAGAAAAGTGGAAAAAAGCGAATATAGTGTCCTGACATTTCTCTCTTATGGTTGTGATGTCAAAAAATTTTCCAAGTTTTAATTGGCAAAAAATGTCAAATTTAATGGTTATAAAAAACTTTAAATTTAAAATTCAGTCAAATGTTATTATAGTGCTATTTGAAATTAACAAATATTAAATAATTAAATAAAGAAAATAATTTATTTTGCATAAGAAAAGTAATAAAAAAAAATTCTTTTATATAATACAAAAATTTTACAATTAAAAAATAAATAATTCTTATTGTAATTGTAAATTCTACACTCCAAAATTATTGTTTTATCAAAGTGAAGTAATGATAATTCTAGCTTATTAAAAACATAAAAATTAAAATAGTTTTGAACTGAGCAGTTATTGAAGATTTATTATCATTAGGGATTCGAACTATTGAATTTAAAATTTAATATTTTTTTTTTTTTTAATCAAATGGTTAAAAATATTCACCTCAATGTGAAAAATTTTTCTCTTCAAGTTTTATATTTTTGTTCGAATTTTTCATTTTTTACATAACTTTTTTTGTCCCTATCTTATGAAAAATGTTCTATGTATTTTTCTTTCATTTCATTTAATTTTTTGAGATTTTTCGACCTTTTTTTGAATATTTTATTGTCATTATTATCCAAAAATTATTAATAATCTTTTAAAAATCAATTTTTTTAAAAATATAACTATTTTGAAATTTTTTTGTTTGAAAATTTTTTTGTAACTTTTAAACTATTATTAAAATTATACTATTAAATCAGCTTATAGAATATTTAAAAATTTATTGATTTTTTTCAAACCTTTTACTATTAAATATTTATTTTAATAATAATAATAATAATAATAATAAAAATTATAATAATAATAATAATAATATTCTATTTAATTTTAATTATAAACTAATTATTAATTAAAAAAGAGGACATTTAAAACAAATTTATTTCACTATTATTGTAGAGAGAAAAAAAAACAAGGATAAATTAACTTTTTTCGAAAATTTTTATTTTTTGAAGAATAATACAATGAAAATATTAATTCAAGTATTTTACAATTGTAGATTTCATATTGCCATACGATTGTTAATTGATATGATTTTTATTAGCGTAGTTGAACAAATTTTTTGCAAAGACTTGATTCTTTCAATTTTTATTATTGATCGAAATGGTCTACTACTTTTCCTAAAAGATCCCACACCATTTTCAATGTACCATGCGCTAGAACAAAATATAGGTTATGATTAGAATTTTTACATATATACTAAAACAAATGAAACGAATTTTTTTTTTATTATTATGAAAAAAATGAACGTACCAACTTCAGCTTTGAATCTGTCATGGGGATCATCCTTGGGTACTGATACTGAAAATAAAAAATGTTATTAAAAATTTTTTAATCTAAAAGTAGATTTTTTTTTTAATAACTTTGACTACTTTTTATTTAAACTACTTTTTTGACTTTTATTTTTATTTCAAATAAATAATATTCTTAAAAAATACATCATAGTTTAAATAATTTTATTTAATTGTTTTTTTTTTTATTAAAATTATATTTCAGTTAAATAAAATGACAAATTTGTTATGTAAATTAAAAATGAAAATTAAAAATGAAAATTAAAAAATTAAAATGAAGAATAATTTTAACAAACCTGCATTAGTTAAACAGTACAATGATACTAGGACAATTAAGAAAGTTGAAATTGCGTGATTCATTGTTAATAATTCAAAATTTTGAAACTTGAATTTATTGAGCGGTTCACGTTTGGTTAGCTTCTTTTATATGCAAGAAATTGTTGAAATAGTGTTTTAGTTATAATTTTGACGATAATTAACTATACATTTAGATTGTATTTTAAGAGGAAAGTCTTGTTTGCTTTTTATCTTTAGAAAGCACTATTTCTTTCGTCATTGATTGTAATTAGCATGAAAGTCGATTTTTTCTTTTTTTTTTTTTTCTTTAAAAAAAAAAGAGGCACTTATTAATTATTTTAAGAATATAGTTCATTTGTTACGTCATACGCAATTAATTTGCTTTATTCTAAAGTTCACGATTTTAATGAGAAAAAAATTTAAAAAAATTTTTATTGTAAAACACAATTATATTCTTAATTTAAGAATATAATTTAATTCTTCTATTAAGAATATTAATCATAAAAATAGTAATAAAAAATAAAAAATAATAAAATATTTTTTTTTATATAAAAAATATATTCTAAACTGGTAAGAATAAAATTTTGTTGAATATATTTTTAATTAGGTGCCAAAATTAAATTTTGTAATTTATAGAATAATTTTTTAGTAAAGAAATAAAAAAAAAAAACAAAATTTATTAAAATAGAAATATTTATTTAAAAAATATTTACAATAATTCTTGTTGAAATAATTAGGTATTAGAGTTTTTGTATAAAAAATATTCACCTGAAAAAATAAATTGTCCGCCATATTGAATTCGACATTTTGGATTTTTAAAAACTGATAATTATTGTTATTAAAACAAAAAGATAAGATTTATTTTATTTTCATCATTATTTTAATTAATAATAATAATTATTGTTTTTATAATAACGATTTTATTTTATTATATTATTATTATTATTATTATTATTATTAATATTATTATTATCTATTTAATTAATTATAATAATTATTATCATTGCCATTATCTTTTTCGTGATAACTATTAATATAATAAATGTAGGCGCGCAATTAAAGAAAAAGGAACATTTAATATTCAAATGGAGTTGCATTTGTGTAGCGGGAGAATTTTCAATTTTTCCAAAAGCTGGAGTCGTCAGGAAAGATTAATATTTGAATAGTTCTCATCACAGATAATCGGGCTTTACCGTTTATGGCTGTGAAATTCCGCACAGCTTCAGGATGAAGAAATTAGCGTAATTAATATTCGTGTCACGTACTATATTGAAGCAAGAAGACTGAGGAAGCAGAATTCTCCTTTAACTGCTTCCAAGCTCACTTTTCCCTGATAAGGACATTATTTAGAAAGGAAATTTCTGTGGATAATAATTTTTTTTCTTTCTTTTATCTTCATTTTTATTTCTTCATTTTTTTTTGCTCGTGTTTAATTATTAGATAAATGAACCTGATTATTATTTATTACTACAATATATATATATATATATATATATATATATATATATATTATAGTGATTTTACTTTGCCGCAAGTGAAGTTTGTAAATCTTTGAATGAATGTTTGTGTGTTAATTTGTTGGCAGTTTTGCCTTTAATTATAACACGTTGCTTATTCTGTGTGCTGCCTGAAACAGTACAAAGACATTCAAAGTGGAGTGCACTTGTTCATTTGTTGAGTCTACTTAAGTAATCTCACAATCCTGCCAGCTACATACGGATTAATTCGGCGTAAATTCTTGAAATGCAAGTTTAGCAAACTAGACGTTGAAACTTAAATTACAGACGCTTACTTACTCAGTCAATTATGGATTATTTTAAACTAACCAGTTTTAATGGAATTTATGACGGGATATTGTGACAATAAACTTTAAATTTAAAGAAAAATAAAAAAAAAAAAAAATAAAAATTAATTACATTTTGAATTTTATTAAATTGGAAAATGAATTTTAAAGAGAAAGAAATAAATTTTTAAAATTGCAAATAATTACATTGATCTGATTTGATATTAAAGAAATTGAAAGAAACAAGAAAAAAAAATTGAAGCGACGCGAATTTCTCATTTAATTTATTATACTAAATGTGGGTCTGAAGATAATACACTTAGTGTGCAACTTCTTTTTATTCTTTTTTTTTTAAGAGACTATAATTTTCCTCTCGTCTATTAAGGTAATTGATGCGCTTAACGAATTTGCACGATAAAAAAAAAATTCATTAAATTTTCCATTTAAAAATGACTTATCGAAAATATGTCACAAAAGGGGAAAAAATAAAATAGAAAGAGAAGAATAAAAAAAAGTGAATGTTTTTTTGTATTCAACTTTATGAAAAGTACATACGAAACTTTAAATGTAACCTGTAGAAAGTTACATTTATTTTATTTTATTTTTTTCAAAAAGTTTGTCTATTTTTTTATTTTTCTTAAAATTTCTTTTCTGACACTTTTTCCCTGAAATTGTAGTAATACTTGTGAAAAACGTTAACCAATTTTTTTTCTCAGCAAACTTTTCGTGAAAGAAAAAAAAATAGTTTCAAAAGTTAATTTCTGTTAGAGAATAATTTTTTTAAAAATTGTAAATACAATAATTAGTTTTTTTTTTTATTTAATTACCAGAGGCGATCATTAAGACAAATAATTGTTAATTATAATATAAAAATTATATATGGATATTATTAATTTAATAACTAAAGAGGCAAATGTGTTAATGCTTCTAAATAAATTGTATATTTATTATACTTTGGAATAATAGTAAAATTTAATACACGAAAGGCAAATATACGCTAAACAGTTTCATTCCCTTTATATAAATTCAAACAAAAAACAGAGATGGATTTGTTACTGTTTTGCGTACATTATTATTAACCGGTGTTTGACCTACTTTACAATTCGTAATGAGAGAATAAAGTTAACAATGTTCATTAAAATACATTTCAATTTATTGAAAAAAGAGATCAGTTTAATTTTTCAACAAAATAACGATGCAACTAAAATAATATACAGTTCGAAAGTTTATACACTGAAATGTAAAGTAAATGCATGAAAAAAAAACTAACAAAGTAATAAAATATAGTTATAATTATTTTATAAAAAAAAGAAATTTTTTCTTTCGTTTTATTCTCAAAGATAAAGCATTGAACTATTTTTTTCTTTAATTTATATTAAAATTTTATAAACATTTTTAAACAAGACAAAAGGAAAAAAATTTTATAAAATAATAAAACACATAATTAATATGGTGAATATTTATTTTTTTAAAGAATATGACAAAGAAAACACCAATTCAATTATTTTACAATTTAAACTACATATTGCCATACGATTGTTTAGAAACATTTAAATATATTAGTTTTGCAATGGATTTTTCAAAAAACTGGAACTAGACGGCTAAATTTAGTAATTTTTTTAATAGTGACCAAACCTGCATGAATGTATTCATTACTGAAAAAAGAAATAAAATTATTAATAATTTTTAAATAATAAACAGAAAAAAAATAATGAAAATTATATATATATACCAATGTTCATTGACGAATCAGCACTGTCAGCTGTAAAAAAAAAAATTGTTTTCATTATAAAATTAAATGTAATTCAAAAAAAATTTAATTTTACTTATTAAAATCTACCTGAGACGTCAATAAAGCTAAAAGCTGCAAGTAGAATTAAGATACTGAAAATTAGAAACTGCATTGTTAATAATTGAAAATAGAACTTTTACTTCTTTGGTTGCTTTAACGTTTATGATACTTTTAATTTGTGAGAAACTCAACAAAAATGTTCTGAAGTTAGCAATTTAAAAGTAATTAATGAAAAATTCTGATAATATTAAAAGGAAAAAGTTGTTTTGTTTTATTTATCGTGAAAGATGCTTTGAAAATGCGTTTTTTCTTTTTGCTTCTTATTGTAATTGTTTGGAAATTGCTTTTTTCCGCATTGTTTTTTTTTTAAAGTTGCACTTAAAAATAATTTGAAAAATTATGGTATATTTATAGATTTGAGAGCTATAAAAGAGGAAAATAAATTTTCAAATAAAAATTTAAAAAAACTAAAACTAAAACTTATTTTTTACTATTGATATTCGAATTAGAAATTGAAAATTTTAACTTATTTTTATTACTGAGAAAATTTTTTTGAAATTATACATTTTGTCTGACCAAAATGTACTTTTACTACTGATATAAATTTTTGTTAAAACACTCGTGACTGACTGAGATTACCTTTTACTAATAATATACAAAATTAAAAATTTTTTTTTTGGAAAAATATGTCTGACTATAATTTTGATCTAGTATTAATAACAAATTTTTCAGAACTTGAGCTTTTCTGTTATAAACTTTGGCTGTTATATCAAACTTCTTATAATAATATTACGAAAGTTTAGATCCGTCTAATTGCACTAAAATCGTAAGAATGTTGTAAAATATATGTCTGACTGTAACTGGCTTGTACTACTAATATAAAATATTCTTTCTGACTAAAATGTCGTTTACTACTGATTCTAATAATTTCAAAAGCCGGACAGTAATTTACTTTTACCACTGAAACTAAAATAACAGAAATATACAAAATTTGTCTGACTAAAATTTACTTTTACTACTTAAAAAATTACTACTAATAATAAAATTATACAAACTGTTTAGGGAAATATAAGTCTGACTGCAACTGGCTTGTACTACTAATATAAAATATTCTGTCTGACGGAAATTTCATTTACTACTGATTTTAACTATTTCAAAAGTTTGACAGTAATTTACGTTTACTACTGAAACTAAAATTACGTAAATTTACAAAGTTTTGTCTGACTAAAATTTATTTTTATTACTAAAAATGTAAAATTACTACTTTTAGAAATTATTCAAACTGTCTAGGAAAATATGTCTTGACTGTAACTGGCTTATACTACTAATATAAAATATTATGTCTGACTAACATGTCTACTCCTGATTCTAATAATTTTAAAAGCCTGACAGTAATTTACTTTTACTACTGAAACAAAAAAAACAGAAATATACAAAATTAGTCTGACTAAAATTTACTTTTATTACTAAAAGAATTAAAATTACTACTAATAAAATTACTAAAATTACTAAAACTATTGTCTGACTAAATAGAACTTTTACTACTAATAATTTTTCTCATTTCGAAATTCCAATTTATTTACTACTAAAAAATAATACTAATTCACTAATAAAAAAAAATCAAAATTACTAGAATTCAAAATGTCGTCTGACTAAATAGGATTTTTACTACTGATAATCTTTTTGTTTTGAAAATTCCCGTTTGATGAACATCTTCCAGTGAAATAGCTTAGCTGTATAATATATATATTTCAGCAGCAGATTGGAAAGCGTAACGTTGGTCTTTGACAAGTTAATGTCCAAGGTATTTTGTCGGGGTTTGTGTTTATACATTGAAATAGAACTGCTTTAAACTGAGGCTGATTTGTTCGGCAATATTTAGTTAGGTGAACTGCACTGCTTCCCTTGTATTTCGCAATGTACTTTAGCGGTGCTCAGATAGGTATATATACACACACACATACATGTTGCAATAACCAAACGATGTTATGGGCATGTTCTCATGTCAAACCACAACCTAACGACCTTTTTGGGTGGGAGGAAGAGTGGGAGGAGGGGGATAATGGCGGCTCGGGCGACTGTCCCGACGATGGTCTCGTCGGTCGATGCGGTGATAAATTGCTATTAACTCCATACACTGGACTCTATACACACGCGACATTTGCATTGGCGCGTCGCTTATATGGATATATATATATATATATAGTTGTTAATTAAATTATTCAACATTAATTTTTTTTTTCATTTTTATGTTTGGTACAAAAAAAAATTTGGGAAGTTAATGCCAACTGAAGTTGGGAGAAAAATATTTACGGAGTTAAAAATCAACTCCGAGTTAACATATTAGATTAACTCCCTAGTCTAGTTATATTATTTACCTTTTCTATGCCTTACAATTTGGCGAATTTTTTTTTGTTTAATTTTTCTATTTTAATAATGAATAATTTTAATTAATAATTTTAATAATAATTTAATGCACACAATATTTTAAATATTTATTTCTAACGTATGTTCTTTTTATTCTGTTTCAGGTATGTATCTCTTATGACAAATACTGATGTTCATTCTCATTCCTGTATGGTAATGTTTGAATTTTTATATGTAAATATTTTTAAAAATATCTTATATATTTATTTTAATGCATAATTTTTTTTTTTGCAACATCTGCAAAGAAAAATGACACTATAGTTTAACGTAATTGTAGGAGAAAGTTGTGGATTTCTGCATACAGAAACTTTACTTGGTACTATGCGGAAAAGTATACTTTTCTGCACTGTTTTTTTATAAGTTTGTTGCATCCAATGCAGAAAAATATACTTTTCTGCACTCTTTTTATTACAGTTTTTGCATAGTATACAGAAAATGATACTTTTCTGCACTGTTTTATAATTTTTTTGTATACTGTGCCGAAAAATATACTTTCTGCACTGTTTTATAATTTTGTTGTATACTGTGCAGAAAAATATACTTTTCTGTACTGGTTATATAAATTTTTTGCATCCAATGCAAAAAAATATACTTTTCTGCACTCTTTTTATTACAGTTTTTGCATACTATACAGAAATTTATACTTTTCTGCACTGATTTATAATTGTGTTGCATCCAATGCAGAAAAATATACTTTTCTGCACTCTTTTTATTACAGTTTTTGCATAGTATACAGAAATTTATACTTTTCTTCACTGTTTTATAATTTTGTTGTATTCTGTGCCGAAAAATATACTTTTCTGCACTCTTTTTATTACAGTTTTTGCATAGTATACATAAATTTATACTTTTCTGCACTGTTTTATAATTTTGTTGTATACTGTGCAGAAAAATATACTTTTCTGTACTGGTTATATAACTTTTTTTGCATAGTATACAGAAAATTATACTTTTCTGCACTGTTTTATAATTTTGTTGTATACTGTGCCGAAAAATATACTTCTCTGCACTGTTTTATAAATTTTTTTGCATACTACTCCAAAATGTATACTTTTCTCCACTTTTATTTTAAAAAAAAGGAGAAATCTAAAAAAAATAAGAGGGCAAAAAAATGTTCCCCGGAAAGTAGGAAAAGAAATAAATATATATATAGA